ACACAACAGGCTACGGAAACATCTGCTAAGCACTGCAAGCACAAGTCATTTTGATCTCAGAGGGACACTGCTCCTGGTAACATCTGAGGTAAACGACCTGAGCACAGGATAACAGAGGAGATACCCATCACAAATGTGAAGTATTTATCTGTCTGCCCGAGAGACTTTTTTTCCTGTGTTACTTCCTGTTACTCAGAAAGCTAATTCGGGCAAGTTGGTGTTTTTCCCCCTCTAAGATGTCATGGCATAGTCGTTTAGAAGAAGAAAAAAAGAAGAAAAAAAGAAGGAAGTGGGTCATCACTGTGGTTTTAGTTCTCCACTTAGAATACAGGACATGTAATTTCAGTTACAGATTTGCTTAAAAAAAAAAAAAAACAACAAAACCCAGCACTGTCCAAGTCTACTTGCTTCATGTTAATGGATGTTTGCATCCCAAGAGCAAATACACACACAGAGAAATCTTACTGTTAACGGACTAAATATCTGAACACCAACTTTCTTTTGACTGCACCACGGAAAGGTAAGTGCACATTTTCCTTCTACTTTCAGTTCCACTTGAAAGTTTCCTAGATTTTGTAGGAAATTATACATGAAAGTAAGTTTGAATTTTTTTGTTTAAATACAACTCCACCAGTAACAACAGCTAACAATCAATCTCTGCCTGATTTAAGGAGTCTGATAAACAATTGCTTTCAGTGATGCTAGAAGTTGTTCACAATCAGACTAAAGAAGTAACAGCAGTCTACACTGCTCTGTAGTTCCTGTTACTGCGGACTGACACTGTTACTCTGCACTGACAGAGGACCCTATCAATACCTGGGCACAAATTGCTGAGTTAAAGAAAAACAGAAAAAGCTACGTAATGATCAGTCCCTTTGCTAACGTGATTATAACTGAAGCCTTTACAATACTAGTTTCTTTATTTTTAAGAAAGGCATATTGGTCCAAATAAACATTCATACAGCTGCAGTTCTCGGGCAGTAAGGATTGGAGTGCATCTGCACTGGAAAATGCACCTCATTTCTGCACGTCATGTAGAAACTTTGTGAAATGCCCTGCTTCCCTCCACCCCCAAAAAGGTTGTGCTGTTGCTGCTTTTCCTCCTTTTTGAAGACTGCAACAAGGCGTTCCCCAGTAACCGTTACCTCAGGAAGATAAATATTGTACCCAGGCTGTAGCTGATGACTAAGATGGTTTTAATTCGAACTTAACAATAAGGACTCAGAGCAGTTTAGTTTGAAGTGTGAATTGCGAAGAAAGATACAAATATATTCTCCTCTCCTCTGCCTCATGAGCAGCCACCCACCATCTCACCCTGCTCCCATCCCAGGCCTATCACACCCTTCCCTTCCCTGGGGGGCTCCGGGAGTATGAAAGATGTCATTTGGATACTGAAAAGACAGGCAAGCTTAGCTCTCTGATTTTTGAGTGTGAACACATTAAGATCTCTGGTAGATAAGCTAACTTTCAACTATGGCAAAAGCAAATTTATTTCTGGTACATTTCCAAGTTACCAAAACCTAGAAACATACAGATGTGCTTTGTTACCTTTAAAGTAACAGCTGCAAGAAGAAATTTCTACAAACAGCACCATTAATGTCAGTCATCCTTGATAGCATTTATACATGAACAAGATGTAAACTACAGCACTTGGAGGAAACATTTCATTCTGTTAACAGAGACAGGGAGCACAACAACCAGCCATAAGACCTGAGCCTGTCTCACACACGTAAACCTGAGAAGACTCGGCACAGGCATGATGCAGTAACTTCCCTCTCTCATCAGCATCACTCTGAGGTTGCCCTGTTTGTCTCTGATTCATGGTGCGAATCTGAATATTACCCTAATGTAGAGCAGAGCATAATACTAATGGTAATCTGCACAATTTCAGAGGTTTTAAAGGAAATATCAAATCTGAAGTGTGTTTGTGATAAACAGTCTCTTGTACAATAAATCAGACATTAAAGAACAAAGATCTTCCTAGGGATTTATGAAATACGCCTGACAGCCGTGATAAGAAATAAAACGATTAGAACAAGTAACTGCTGCCATTTACAGGAATGCTTTCAGTTAAGGTCTCTGCTTGGCCATCTGTACAAGCACAGTTACTTCTCCCATATTTGGGGAAACACGGTGAAGCAGAAAGCGGTACTCTGTAGGTTTTACATGGGTGCCTCCCTTCCCCATTTAAAAGCAGAAGTGATGAACTTAAAGATGGTTAGCTCTAAAGAGGAGGAACTACAGCAGTCTGTATCGACACCCACAAATCACGGAGCACTCAGCAGAAAACACTTTCCTCTCTTTGCTTCATGTTCTTTTTTCATCTTCATACACATCACACATAAACCTCCAAACACTGGAATTCAGCGCTGTAGGAGCTGAAGTCCAAGACCACCAATTCAGTCAGGATTCCAAGCAGCTGAGTGCTCCCTTCCACACATGGCAAGCACGAGGCCAAGTTACAACACATTGCTGATCAGAAAAGCTGCTGGCTGCTAAACCCGACAAGCTGATTCAAACCTCTAAGAACTAGCATTGCGACTTCGTAACACCAGAATTTCTATTTTTGTAGGTGACTGAAGAGGAAGATGAAGACAAAGAGACATGGCAAACCACATTCTGCTTTCCCTCTTGGGATAATCTTTTCATTGTGTTTGCAATTAAGTGCAAACCATACTGACTATCCCATGGTTACCAATGAAATCTGGTATCCAAACTGCCAAAACCTTACTTGCAGTCAGAACACAACAGAAGCCAACACAAAATCTCCTGCAGGCATTGATTTTAACGACAAACCAACATCCACTGCTGAAATGCTGACAGCCACCCCCCAGTCTTTATCTTCAACAACGGGCCCGAACTCCTCATCTTCCTCTGCCCAAAGTGTTCCTGACACTGGAGGACCTAAGAATACCAGCACACCCAAGATCCCCATGACAAAAGAAACATGTGAAGACAATAAGTTTCTTACACTGATTTGCTTCATTATAATAGCAGCCCTTGTACTCATCTGCACCTTCCTGTTTCTGTCAACTGTTGTAATAGCAAATAAACTGTCTTATGTCAAAAAAGCTCAACAAGGAAAACGTCGGCCCAGGAGCAATGGCGATATTCTGGCTACCAACAGCTTCTGGCCAACTGCAGCAGGAACGTGGCAGAGGATACCTAAGGAGACAACTGGAACTGATGTGGTAATGCAGGACTTGCCATCAGAGAGAGATGCTGCAATCCAATTGAGAACCCAAGATGAATCCACTGAGATTCATGTTAAAGACACAGATAATAAACATGAAAACAAAGAAACAATGTCACACAAAAGCATTTTTACCAATTTTGTAGTTGAGATTTAGTCAACTAAAAACACCTTCAGCTTTTACATTTTATACTGGATTAACATGAGACAGAAACTTAGCTTTCAAGAAACAACACACACTGTAACATGGGAAAGCTAAACCTTCAGGTTTCTCATTTTTAAAGGTAGTGGGTATGCTGTGAAAACCTGTACATCAAGAAGGCAGTAGGACTGCATTAAAGAGATTTTTAGAAGTAGCACCAGGGCTGTTTTAACTCCTTTAACCAGCAATCATGGTTGTACCATGAACCAAACAGGATAAAGCAGGACAGAACTTTGCCATTTTCAAAGATCACTGGGGGACAAAAAAAGGAAAGGACAGTTAGAAAATGCTATATTTACGCAGACTAAAGTGCTACACAGGCACTTGCTATTTTAAGAAAACCATAATTCAGTCACAACTTTGATGCCATTACTGAATCGGGAACTATTCTGTTAAAATGCCTTTCACGTTTATTCTATCAAAACTTCTTAAATCAGCTTAATGTCTTTTGAACCAGACTGAGAGATGCTTTTTGCTTTGATTTTAGCTGTAAATATATGAAGTTTGTACTGTATGTTAAAATATAAGAACTCCTTTTTGTAATCATCAATAAACTAGAAACATCAGTAAAATGTTAAATTAATTTTAAATAAAGTTTACATTCTATTTTTTCTCCAAGTCACGAGGGGTAAAACCACAGTATCATGGAAAAGCAGGAAAAAAGTAGAGAATCACGATCCTATCAGTGGAAAGAAGGAAAAGAAACAGTAACGAGGGTGGGATCTGCAGCCAAAAACAGGTGGAAACTGTGAGGATTGAAGGGAACTTGAATGAGGTAAGACTCAAGAAAGTGTGTGTCACAATAACAGGATTTGCATGTGCAGCAGGAGTTGGCAACAGACTGGAAAATAGCCAGCACAGCCAGCAGAGCACAGCAGCAGGCATGGGACATGGAATAGCTATAGTGGAAGGCACAAGAATGCACTTGCAAAATGCTGTGAGGATAGACATACACGTTTCTTTGGCAGGCCAAAACACTCAAGGAGACAAAAAAGTAGTTTGGGTTATGATATGGACAAAGAGACAGCAGAAAAACAACTGCTTAGAGCACGCAGTCCTCCTTTAATGGTGGCAACAGGCACCAACACTGTCCAGACAGAAAAGCAAAGTGGGGAAGGGGAGGCAGAGGAAGGGTGAGATCTGCAGCTATCTGCCTGTAACACAGCTACCTGAAGGAAGATGTGCAAGCCAGCACCCCGTGATCAGACAGTGCTCTATGACTCACTGTAGCGAGCCTACGGTTGCATTTCCATTAATAACAACGATAGCTCATCAAAACCACCACTGAATTTTTATTAGTAAAAATGAAATCCAATCCAAACTTACTTCTGTGTCATTCAAAAAAATTTGTAAGCACAACTATTTTCAGCAAGGACTGGAAAACAAGCATTCATGAATTCCTACATAACAGACACATACCCAACAAAGGCCACCTAAATATTTGAGTTTTACAAACACAATTGAACTGAAAAGTTTGCTTTTAAATCATGCAAACCTTGAGCTAAGCTTCTTAGTAATCCTCCTACTCTTGACACTTCCTGCAGCAAGTGTTGGTAAACTTCCTCTTTAGCTGCAGAAACTTGCTTCAACGTGAGACAAGCCATTTCAGAGCTGCTCGACTCCTAGCACAGCCTGTCCTCTTAAGGCTTCAAACAAAAAATAAGAGAATGCTTGCTTGACAGAAGACAAAGGTAAGAATCAAATTCAAAATGTAAAGACTTAATATTTGCATTATTTATTTTTAAATGAACTGCACTTTGTACAGCACTTCCTAAGCTAATTCAAAGTTCCTGCAGTATTTGGAAGATGCAGACATTCCATCCAGTTCCTAAGGTGTTGCTACTGTGAACTATCATGAACTCTACACATACGCACCATTTCAATATATTTTAAAACAGAATATATTTTTGAGCAGAAGAAAATGAAATGGGGTCCTTTTTATCTGTTTTAAATCTTACGTGTAGATAGTGATCTCTAGAAGCATTAATCTGCTGCTCATACATGTTTGCATCGTTGCATCTGAAATTAACTTTCATAGTTACATACTGAGGTTCCAGGCGCAGCTTCACAAGAGCAGCGTGATCACAAATTATCTTCAGGTAAAATCACAATAGGTGTCTGTATTTTAATGATTTGCATCACACAGGAATTCAGAAACCTGAACTCCGAGCAGTACAGGAAAAAAAGTCTGCTCCATCCCAACTTCCTAACGCTAACACAACCTCCTTCGTTACAAAAGCTTTCCCCATGCAGGAGTTTTTTTTACAAAGACAGTTAAATATTGGAGTTCTGTACCATTATAGTTGCAATATTTGGAAACTTTTGCAGAATTATTGCACTCTAACCTTAACTGCGCAAGTGAGGGAAGAACAGGAAATAGACCTTAAAGAACCTTTCACCCAGGTCTCAGCTTATCTCTAGGCTTCTCTCTCAGTCCTTCAGGTATAAAGTAGGGCAATTTTCTTTACTCTTGTTTGTCAGTACTGCTGTGTTTCGTATTTCATTTCGCATCCATAATCATTTCTGTGACAGATAAAAGCTATTTTGAAACACACTTTGCACTTCTCACCAAACACCATTTTCAGAGAAGGTGGAAAACAAAAAAACCCACAATGATATTGATATCAGAGACAAAGCTGTCAACCATACAGATGACAATAAGCATGCAAGTTTAATCTGGCCTATTTGTTTTAGACTCTAAATATAAAATTGTCTGGTATCAGTAATGTCATTTCAGGTTCAATTTAATGTGTTTTACTTTATTCTTGATGTAGGAGACGACGTACTTAAACAGACTGCAGGAAAATGGTCAGCAACGCAGTAATATTGCTTCTCTTCTGTGGAGAAATTTGGAAATCACTTTCCACTGAAATACCTTCAAATGTTTCCACAAGTGAAAGCATTGTGCATACCAGCACCAGCATCCTGGCAGAGGACAGATCTACCACGTACCAACTGCAAACAACCAGCCCCAGCATGCAGAAGCCTGCAGGAGCACTGACTGCTGCGACAACACTGCCACAGCTGCCCGAACCACACATAGAGCCCACCAACGGGAGCTGGGTGGCAGCAATGATAATGGGCATTGTTTTGGTTGGTATGGTAATTGCTATTAGTATGATTGTTATATGGAAACGCTGCAAGAAGCCATTGCTAGCCGATTCAAACTGGGCAGGTCAGTCTCCGTTTGCAGACGGAGACACTCCAGATACCTTTGTGGACTCCGGCCAGGCTACCAAGCGTTTGTCAGTTTTATTTATGTTGCCTTGGAAATTAAGAGAAGAAGCATCCGTACAGCACGACCCTCCTGCATCAGAGAAACCACCCAACGGCACGGCCAGCAACGCCCACAGGCAGCAGCCCGCAGCAGAGCACCACTGCTCTGCCACCAACCCCGCTGCAGCAGCGGCTCCCGGCCCAGAAGCAGCGAGCCCAGAGCAGGTGCTGCACCCACAGCCTGCCGAGGGCCTCGAGCTGCCGCCTCCCCCTGCGTGGCTCACTGAGCTCACTGAGCCGGCCGAGCAGCACGCCGCGGATCCTGGCCAGCAAGAGGAACTTCACTCAGAAGTGAAGGAACCGTATCCCCCACCGCTCCAGCTAATTACTGAAGAGATCTGTGAACCTCCGCCACGGCCGGAACAGCCTCAGTAGACTGTGCCAAAATAACTTTCCAAAACACTTCTCATTTTTCTTAAACGAAGCACTCTTCAAATAACTGAGTAATGGAGAAGTTGACACAGGCAAGAACAGCGAAACCACAGCACGAGCAACAGCTCCCCGGCATTTCTCAACTTCAGCTTTCACAAAAGGGAAGAATCCCTTTCTGCCTGCAACAAATCTTGGCAGAATACAGCACGCCTGGTGCCACTGCATGGCCTAATAGTGACTCCACTGTGCAGATAACAAATGATTCCTGATTTTGGAGACTGCAGAAAACTGCGTGTACCTCTGTGTTCAGCACATGCAACACAGAGATGGATGTGCACAGTGAAACTTTAGAGGGGCTCAGAGCTTCTTGCAAAGGTTTGTTCTATTAGACTACGTAAATGAACGCAATGAATTCAAGTTAATTTTAATAAAGCTTTCTAATTCGAAGATGTTTTGGTTGCTTAAAGCATAACAGAGTTATTTGCTTAGATACAAAGCTTCTAATTCAAAACAGTCTAAATGCTCTGGCATGCATACATACAGACTGCCTCATACAGAGGTCTGTTTTCTGCGTCAGATGGAGGAGCCACTTGGGAACAGAGGATGACAGGTATTTAAAGCAAATCCCTCAGCAGCCAGCAGTCCAGATCAAAGACCGATGAAATGCATACTGTAAAAACTCTCATTATTTTGTTTTATTTTTCAGTAGTATAGTAGGGTATTTTTGATAGTATAGTGGCTGTGAAAAAGAGGATATGACTCCAAACACATGAAAAACAAAAAGGTGGTGTTTTACCCAGACGCTGGGTTTTGGTGGATGAAACAAACAGTTCACAGAACATCCAGACAGACAACTATCAGAATTAGCTGCACATGTTTACTAATTTCTTCCTTTTCTTCCTCTCAAGCAGGATTTTCAGAATGGATTCAATGTAATTAATCTTTAAAAATTGGTTTAAGGTTGCCTGGATTGCAGGTTCCTTTAACTCCAGGTGCCCAGGTTGGTCCATCCTTTCTGGGCCTCAAGTACGAGATAAGTTCACTATCCTGTCCAGAACCATGCATTTTTATTTTAACTATTTGATGGTAAATTGAAGGGAATTCTCAGAGGTAAATTACAAGCATGCATATTTTACTGGCATTTAATGCCTAGATTTGTAGAAAGATAAGATTTGTAGAGAGAAGCTGCTAGATACTAATGCTAGGTTTCCATGACGTCTCTGCAAAATGACAAAGAACTTGCAGCTTTGAGTTTGCTGGGGGAGGGAACATGTTTGGATGTCACATAGGCCACCTGTTCATACCTGTTACAATGGACATTCCATTCCAACCGCATTCTGGTTGCTGAAAGGCTTTGAGGCTTTATGCATTGCACCATGTTAAAATATATGCATATATTTTGTATGTGACAAACGTGTGCGTTACAAACTATGCATACCCTTGCCATATTGTTTGGAGCAAAGCAGATAAAGATTTCCTTAGAAAGCGGTAAATTCCTGCAGTATGTGCTGCTGGGTATAAACCCAACAACACAGAGACAACCTGATCCAAGCAGCACAAAACCAAGGATTTTTAAATTAGGAAAAGATATTCTGGCAGGGTAGCTTAAGTAAGCTCAAGATAGGAAACTTAAATTAACACTAACCCTTCTTACTGGAACAGAGACTAAATGAAAGCAGAAAAGAGCACAATTCACAGGACTTCTAAAATAGAAACATTTAAATGGGTTCATACACTAAGCTAAGAAAATTTTACATGTAATGTTTTGATGCAGTATTGTGGCTACAAATACATAAAGAAGTTAACTGATTCAAATTAGAAAACCCAACTATTTTATTGAATATGTATGCTTTGCAATAAATTTGAGTCAGCACCAGCGACAGCTCTGCAGTCCTCCAATGTAGTGCAGATCAGGTGGTTGCAGAGCCCCAGCTAGCAGCAATACGATGCAGCTGAAGAGGCAAGCACAATCCACAGACAGCAACTGTAGCTACTCTCTAGAACAAGACGACCTCTAAGCTTAAATCTTTCACAGAAATAATGTGCTGATATTGCAGAAGACATTACGGTAAGTTTGTGTTTTCTGTTTTTAATCACAAAACCTACTACAAAAGTAGAGACAGAAATAAGAACGAAATTATTAGTTGATGAGAGATGCTTGCACCAGGAATTTGCTGCAGTGTCAGAGATTTCTTACTAACATTAATTCAGCTTTCAAACATGTGTTAGCTTTGGGAATGTAACTGACACGATAATAAGGAAAAGTACTAATGTGCATGTTACTATGAATGCAGAATTTGGGTTTCCAACTAAATTCCTAACCAATTTAAGACGTATTTTAAGCAATTCTACTTAAGCAAATAGCATGCCTGTATGGGGGGTTCTGCTACATTACTGCAGAGATTTGTAAAGCAGATCCAGTTGACAGCCATTTTTTCATCCTGTATAAAAGAACACATTATTCCAAACATAATATAGGCTTGAAATCACTAAAAACAAGAAGCAGACATTGTATAACGTTTGGAAGAGACTTGCATTTTCGGAAGAAAGCCCTCATTTGAGCTTGAGGGGGAAAGGCAGATGAAAAAACAAGTCTCGTTCTGCCAGACAACATGACAGGCTCTGAAGGGATGCTTTGTGAAGTCTCTCTTGAACAATTACAAAAAGGACCGTGCCACAAAGGGGTTTATTGATATTTTTACTTAATTTCTGCTGCAACTAATCACTGCAAAGACAGCCCTTACAAATAAATAAAATACATTACATGGATTTAAAGGGTGTCATTTTTGTATATTTATTTTTAGGCAGCAATGGAACACCAGATACTGAAAGCATCTACCTGCCTGCTGGTCTTTCTATTTTTCATACCCACTGTTCTGGGTATCTGTCCTTCTATCTGTACATGCTCAGGAAACAACAGGAACGTGGACTGCTCAGGCAGAAACTTAACAGCATTGCCACACGGACTCCAAGACAACATTACATATTTAAATCTGTCATTTAACCAGTTCGTAGATCTCGATCATCAGCTGACGAGATTCAGCAATTTAAGGACTCTTGATATTTCAAATAATTGGCTCAAGAATGTTCCTGCTCATCTGCCCAAGTCCTTGTGGGAATTGTATGCCATAAATAACAACATTAAGGTCCTTCAGAAACTTGACACAGCTTACCAGTGGAACCTTAAAGTGCTGGATGTTTCCAGGAATATGGTGGAAAGAGCTGTTTTGATCAACAACACACTGAGCAGTCTCAAGTTTCTCAACCTCAGCAGCAACAAACTTTGGACGGTTCCAACCAACATGCCCTACAACATAGAGACAGTGGATCTATCCAATAACTTCTTGTCTCAGATACTTCCAGGAACGCTGGTGAGATTACAGCACCTCACAAGTCTCTACCTACACAACAACAAGTTCACATACATTCCTGACAAAGCTTTTGATCAGCTCTTTCAGCTGCAGGTAGTAACACTATACAACAACCCGTGGTCCTGCAGCGATGAACAAAATATCTCTTATTTGCTTAAATGGGTGCAGGGCACCACTGCCAGGGTGCGAGGAGCTCCCTGCGCCGACCAGTCCACACTGTGGGCCAACATCACGCCGACCTCCGCCGCCGCGCCAGATGCCAGCTTCATGATTAAAGGAATGAAGGCAGCAGACATTGCTGCCTCTCCAGCGGCAGCTGAACCGACCCACATGACAAAAATGCATAAACTATTTAAAGCAAAGGAAGTTACTACCTTGGCTTCGTTAAGCCAGACAGTACTGTTCACGAGCACAGAGCGGCCCGTGCTCCTCTACCCCGAAGAGCTGACGACCAGGAAGGTCAGCACTTACGAAGCGGCTGCCACACACAGCATCCACATTAAAGATTCAACCGATGTGAACTCAAGCCTGACTCATTCAACGGGATCATCCACCACTCCAATGACTCTTAGTATTACCAGTGGAATGCCAACAAACTACTCCAGAATGCCTCAAAGCACAACCGCTACCTTAAGGAGAGAGGAAGCCACTACCAGCGCTCTGAACACTGACGTGCCCTCCAAAGCGAGCGCCTGCGAGATATGCTTGTTTTATGCTGTAATGCTTAATGCAGTGGCAGTGCTTATTGGTAGGAGCTCTGAGGTTACTCCTGTGACACGTAGCTGGGGGGGAGGCATCCAGGTCAAACAGCAAATCAAAACACGAGAAGTCTGAAGCCCTGACTGATCTAAAGAAAATAACAGTTCCTAAAGAAGTGCAGACTAATGTCTCGATACTAAGCTGCTACTTATTTTAATATGTCTTAATTGAGTAAAATTAACCTATGCTCTTGTTTTTTAAAATGTGCTTATTTTGTATTTAAATTTTTAATTTCACTTGCACAGAATTTTAAGTACTGATTGTATTATTTTGTCACTAAACAACTGGAAAAAAACAGAAGTCCTGTATCATATCTGCATTGTCTTGCTTGATTTGCTGGTGAGAAATTCTTGTACTATAGCAGCAGAGATTCTTTGTAAGTTATGATGCCATGCATAAGGAAGGGAAAATGTAAAGAAACTAAACTTAGCTGTTTCGCTAATCAGAAGTAATTCTTGAGAAAAATCGCTAGCATGTATATCTATGTTTGCTTCATATGTACTAGGATATTTTAAATGCAAAGAACAACCATTCTGAATTTAGGAATTAAATATGACAATGCCACCATGTCCATCTACTAAGAGGGGCTTAACTGAGAAGCTAACACGGTCCAGCTTCAGCATGGGAAGAGTGGTAGGGGCTGATCTCTCTTTTTGCTCTGCCTTGACTTAGAATTGTAGGCAAGTTATTCCTTGCTCTCCATAATAGAAAACAAAAAAAGATAGAAGTAGAGGAAAACGCGACACGTTCAATGCCATGACACTCTCCAATAACACGGGCTTTAATCTACACACATTAACAAAACCAAACAGCTTAACTTACAATCAAACATCTGAAATACTTCAACAAAATTCGTCCAGAATTCTTCAAACTACTTTTTGATCAAAATAAAATAAAATATTGGCCAGTTTCAAATGCAAGTTATGTAACACATCAATGGAGCAGTTTAAAGCTCTCATTTAAACAATTCCTGAATCTTGTGACTTAAGATTAAATTCAAGCCATGGCAATGAACATGCCCAAGGCCTTCCAACGATGAGCACGAATGCTGTTCTCCTTGACATCCGCGCCATCAGCAAGTAATAGATGCACGCATGGTTCTGACCACACCAGGAAAATTACGTGGCAAAGGTACTTGATATACTACTGATGAAGTTTTGCAAACAGCATGAAATGAAAACTGAAGAACAAGTTAATTGTAAGAGTATTATTCACTTAATATTGCAAATCTTTATTCAATATTTTCCAAGCATTTCAGGCCATTTAATTTCCAGTTATTGTAGCACAAAGGTGCCACAAAATCTAGAAAACCTCAATACCAAGACTGCAGTCCTTTACCTATTTCTCCTAGGTATCACTCAAGGCTGTAGATGATTTATAACCACTGGTATCAGAAAAATCACAACTTTCCAATTGTGAACTGTATTTCTATAATCAGAAATGTGTTTTAATTTCTAACAGTACTGTAAATGTTGCACAATGAATTTGTACAGTTATTTCATTGGCACTTAAGTAAAAATAAAGCTATGTTTGTATTGAAATGAACCAGTGACAATGTTTCTTTTCACTATTATCTTGCAGACAGGTAACTGTACAGAACAGATGCTATTTTATTACACAGATCTATTCCAAGCGGGCATTTGGCTCAGTCTTTATGTCTTACAGAGAAAAACTACGGTATGATCAAATAGCACTATTTGGTTACTCAAATTTCCCTAACACTGTTTATTAATAAGCTGCTGAAATAGTGATAATAGCCTGCCCTTCTGCTTCTTACCATTTAGAACTTGCAAACCCCTCAGACCAATGTCTACCCACCAGAGAAAGCACCCCTTTTTTCATCTTAAAAAAAAAAAAAAGAAAATTATATATAGAGAGAGAGAGAGAGAGAGAGAGAGAGAGAGGGGAAATCACAGATGTGATGGAAGTGAGATGGCACTCCCTTCGAACCCCAGGGCCATGCTCTATATCCAAAACTTGCCCTTGGTAGGTGCAAGCAAAGAGGGCTTCTCAGTCAGACTGCCTTCAATAGGCAGATTAAATTTGGATTCCCTTGTATTTTTCTGGAATACAAATGAGTTGATAACAGAGCACAAGTAGGCAGGCAGTGTGGGAGGCAGGCACCTGTTGCTTGGCAACAGCACAGTCAGATTGAAATAAAATCAACACGCACGGCTGTGAGCGCTGCAGAACAGCTTGCTGTGCTTCTAACAGGCAGGGCACTCAGTCCATGATAAATATAAATACCATAATCCATCCTCAGGAAATTCTTTGTTTCAAAATAACTAACACTTCAATATAACATTCAGTATCTTTTTGAAAATGCTGCTGTCTTTATCTGTTGGCTGCTCCAGACGTGATCCAGCACGCCTTGATGCAGAAACACGTTTGCTTTCAGAAGGCTAAAACTGCTGCACGGGCAGCTGCAGCGTGAAACAACTCTGAGGTTTCTGTTCCCATGATTCCTATTAATTAGTCTGAGATAGCAGCTTTAAAACTTAATGGCAGTACTTCAGGATCAATATATACTGAGGCATTGATCACTGTAGTAACAGAGCAAGGATTAAAGACAGAGAGCACTGGCTTTGGAAGTCTGGTTGTTACCCAGGGAACAAAACACAGAGGAAAAAAAAGGCAGAAGAGATTAAATTTCACAGCACAAGAGGATATCAACTGATCCAGATATGTCAGAGAAATGACTCAACAATGCCCTAGCAACAAGGCTTTAAGCTAAAAAAGAAAACCTGCCTGCTGCAAGCCCTCAGATGTACTGGCAGCTGAGACCTGAACAGCCTTTCCACATTTCTCAGAACATGACATCTGGCTCAGAACCATGAGCTCAACACCCCAAAGGAACACCTCCCAGCCATGTCCCCGTTTGTAGAGACAGTGCAGAAAAGAGGCCCCACCTGCTAGGTTTGAACAGCAGCCTCGTGGAAAGAAACCACAGGCTTACATAGCAGCCCAAGAGAAGTAGTAATAAAAAGGGTGACAAAGGCAATAAATAGTAACTGGCATGACAAATAGCTGCCATCCAGCCTCATAATCCACACTCTGCTTTATTCTGGCCCATTACCAACTTGCCCAAACCTGGACAGATTTCTCCCAAACCCCTGTATACAACATTGACACACAGAGCTGGCCCCTTAATCCAGGAGCATCAGACATCCAAATCACAATCAGCATTTAATGACACTAAAGATCATACGTTTTCTCAGATAAAGCAAGCAGAAGCTGAATAAATTCCAAGTGTTCAGGGTTTGCTTCACTTATCTATTGGTGTTCACTACGCATCTCACTTGAAGAAAGGTAGAAAAAGTCTTATTTCAACAGGCTCACTCACACCAAAATTAACTATGCCAGAGTACAACAGCAATTTTAAATATATTTCAACAGAAATCATATTTATTCAAATATAATGGAGGCGTATTTTTATTTTTGTTGTCATACAGTCAATATAACTTCCGTAAGATACGGAGGAGGGCAGAGAGAACAAGTTCCAACTCATTTTCCTCAACAAAAGGATTGGTTATCTTGAAAACCTGAAGTATTTCTGAAAGTATACATTCTGCTTTTTTCCATCCTAAAGAGACTGCTTTTCCTCACAATGGATACATGCACGGGTCTCAGAGAAGCAGTTTCCAAAATGCCTTTGACAGAACTGAAGGAAGGAGCAATAAATGCAGGTAGGAGTTGAGGTCTGCAATGACCCAGCTGACCCTTCTAACTTGCCGCAGACGGATGACAACTTTTCAAGCTTATTCAATTACAGCAGTGAACAAACAACAACTGGGAGAAAAATCAGAGTTTCCAAACATCCATTTTTATTCCTGTATTTCCAATGTCAGGTTTTTGGTTTTTTTTTCTATTGAGAGCAGCACAACTAGTTTAGAAGGGGTCTGAACATAATACATCCTATAGTCCTTAAAATTCTACTGACATTCAGGTTAGTGACGTTGTCTTAAACAACCTGCAGGCTTTAAAAAACAAATTTATTCGAGCTGAACCATGCTGTCCCAAGAACACCATACCCTTTTTGAAGCTTATGCAGAAACAAACTTCAAAATCGCTTATCTTTGGGTTATTCTAAGCGTTCACAACAGGCTAGTCACCTACATGATGGAGCAATTAAAAATGGGTCCTTAGCTAAACTTTTGTAACTGTGTGAACTTAGTTGCAGGAGCCTCCAGGGGAAAAAAAAAGAACTTAGTTTCAGTCCTGGCACTGGATACACTCATTTTACTGCCAACTCTGTACCACAGCTCAACCTCTCAGGCATCATTCATGTTTTCTCTACCGCCTAGCATAGACGCAGCGCTCAAACATAAGGTTTGATTTCCCCAAGTAAAAATAAAGGAAAATGAAAGGCTTACTTACTTACATTTTCTTATATAGTTTCTTATTCAGAACAATAAATTGTTGAAAAACAGTGCAGAGAGAAGTGGGAAAGAAAACAAAATTTATGTAGTGACTGCTTCTTTACGTTTAGTATTCCTTTGATTGGCATAGGCTTACATATTCATTAAGTACACAAGAAACTTGGGCACTTTGCTCTCAATCCACAGTCTACTTCCACACAGATGAGCTATGTCAGACTTCCTTTTTTCTCCACCTTATGATCACCTTACCCAAACGACCATTTACATAAATTGTTTAATACAAACAGAATATGCCACCAAGAAATGCCTTCCTCAGCTCGCCACGTGCACTCAGAGGCTCTGCTGACAGTTCACAACACCATTACCTGGAAGAGGCCTCACAGAGAGCAGCAGGCCACAGCCACCAGCTTGGGCACCACAAAAGCTGCTCAGCCTCACAGCAACAAACAGGAGCACCATCGCTCTGACTGCGCACTTGCTAACATGGTACAGCAAGCAAGCACCCCACTGCCAGCACACAAACACCCCAGCAGCAGCAGAAGCAGCAAACAGTGTGTCAGGAGCAATGCTGGGCAGCTATGTTGGCATGGCTCTGTACCCACCAGCACCAGCAAAAATCACATTGCAATAGCAGCAGAAGCACAACCATGAACCCTAGGGGCACCAAAAGGCAAAGCAACAATCCGACCACAGCAGCATCCACAAGACCTGACAGCATGGGTGGTGCCACGTGG